GCCCTCAGAACATTTTTGTGTAAGTAAAACTCCTATGAGCCATATACAGACCAACTGCCTACCAGAGGAAGCAGCTCCAAATAATCATCAGGCAATCCCAAGAACTTGGGATACAACTTCAGACTTTTTGATATCCGTGGGCTAATATTTGCTAATGCCAGGAAACTGCCTTCCATGGGAAAAGAAAACTACTCAAGTGGTCTTCTGTATGGAGTCAATAATCTGTTCTCCTCAGTCTGTGTAGTTCTGACTTGCAGAATCATTAAGAGGTTTCTCTTCTCTTCCAGATTTTCAGAAATCAATTTGCTCTTGGGGCACACAAGATAATGGCTGATAAATCCAGGAGCAAAGTCACAAATGTCTAATTAAAATAAAATAAAAGGTTGATGCATTGGCTTGCAAATGTGTTCTCAAATGGATGATAAATGTGTGGTGACAACTGAGGTCAGCAGAATGAAATCTCATATAATTGATTAAAATTTGAGTACGGCATTTAAAAAATGGTTTTTAAAAACGTGCTTAAAAAAGAGCCTTGGAAATAAATGATGGAAGTGGGAATTGTGGGTGTTCAGAATACGTTTATGGGATGTGTCTGTGACTCTTTTTTTCCACTGGCCCGCAGCAGACATTGAGAGCCACATAGTCCAACAAAATTCATGAAACTATGAAGATATAGCGGTGAATGCTGCCATCTAGTGGCAAATCTGAAGGATTGGCAACAAACCGAGAAAGAATTTTGAGAAAATTCTTGGAAAAGTCTGGTGGGATCTTGGCTTAGTGAACAACACTATGGCTAGAGCAGATATGTTGGAAAATATGTTTGTAAAAGCAGAATATTACATTATATCTACAACAGTGGTTGGCAGTAACGGCCCTAGCCAATGTGGCGCCCTAGATGAGCATCACTGCCAGCGCCCCCTGTCCCAGGCAAAGTGAAATTGGTTGGCAAGTCGGCACCCCCTTGAAAGTTGGCATCCTGGGCCGCAGCCTATGTCACCGATGGGATCGACCAGCCTTGGCAACTAGTGGCTAAAAAATTAGGTAAGGAGGTAAAGTTTACAGGGCAGCACAGTGGTGTACTGTAGTGGTTAGCACTGTGCCACTGTCACCTCATCACTCTGGGAGCTGGTTTGAAGTCTTTGCCAGGGTTCTATGTGTGGAGTTTGTAGGTTCCCCCCATGTTGTTGTTGTTGTTGTTGTTGTGGGGTTTCCTCCAGTTTCCTCCCACAGTCTAAAAACATGCTAAGCTAAATAGAGCTGCCAAATTACCTGTAGGTGTGTGAGTGTGTTCTGTGATGTGTTGGTGCCCCATCCTGGGTTGTTCTGTTTTTATCTCAAAAACAGAGTAAGTAGGATACCATCTCCTCTACTTCCACGGAGCAGCCGCCTCTGCTTTACAGATACCGAGCAAAATGATCCACAAGTCCATCAACAAAAGCTGTACACAAGTTGCACATCGCAGCTTGTGTTTCTACCTGTCTGTTATTCCCCAGCCTTACATTCTGTTTTTCCTGTTTTCTTGGTTAGTTCCTGGTTTCCCCATTTAGTTCCTTTTGAGTTAATTAGTTTCACCTGTTTTCCCAACCCTTGTTAGTTAATCGCACCTGCCCCTTGTTAGTCTTGTTACCCCTCTGTTTTTAAGTCCCTGCCTCTGTTTAGTTTGTTAGTGGTTTGTTGAATATTCTGTTAATTGTGACTGTTGATGTTTGGTGTATGTTCTGCTTACCTGCTCTATTTACTTTTGACCCATCAAGGTCCTTTGTTTTGTTAGTGTATTCTTGTGGTTTTTTTTAGTTCAGTTAATAAACCCCGTTTGTCCTTTGAGCCACAAGTGGGTCGTCCACCATTTCTGCCTGCACCATACCTCATTCTCGCACCCAAACCGCCTTGTTTCGTGACAAATACTTAATTAATCAGGGCCACATTAGGGAGGAGCCAGGAGAGTCAGGCGGACATGATGGGCAGGACGTAACATTAAACAGTCTTAAACAAGAGTGATTGTGTTGTCCAGGTCTTTTTTTACAGCCATTTTACAGTGCTTAAGACAGGAAAGCTCTTTTCAGCACGGTCAGTCTGTCGTATAGCGACTCAGCGCCAGCAGTGAGATTCGCCACACCGGCCCTGCGTTCCATACAGTGTCCGTATCCCTAAAAGGTTTTCTGTTTGAAAGTAAGCTGCATTCAGTACTTATATTTAATCTGTGCGACTGGTGAAAGGCAAAGCGCTGCCTGCTTACGTGGCCATCTCTCTTTGCGTAGCTTCTTTGAGCCCCCATATAGAACTCGTTCGTGGGAAACGCACGTTTCCACTATCCGGAAGATGTCTTTTAAAAAAAAAAAAAAAAAAAAAAATCGTTTGCAGCATTAGATTAAAGATATATTAATGAATGTGTTATTCAGTGCAGAACTCGCATGCACATTCCCTTTTTCATTTAGAAACCGTTAGGCTTAAGTTAGGCACTTAAAATTATACTTCGTTAAGGCAGGGAACAACCATACATTTGTTAAGTCGTCTACAGCAGATGACCTCTGGGTAAGGAAAATGAAGGTGTATGGAGCCAAGCGTTTCAAACGTGTACTCTGCAGTTATACACTAGGCCTATATGAACTGCCCCCCATTTTCCACTTTCTATTACGAGAGTGCGGTACCGTGACAATAACAGGCTGGTGCAAGGTTTATTCTCGACCCTTATGATGACTTTATTAGACTGTAACCATATGTGGAAGCATGTACCTGGAATGAGAATGGATTATGTTTTTAACTTAATTTCTTTAGGATCAATAATGAACAGAGAAATGTATCACGAGCAAAACTGAAATGAGAGAAATCAGAGATTAAAAATTAAGTAAAGCAGTATGTATGTTATTTTCTTGCATTGCATAAATAAATTTTGAACACTATAGACGAATTAGATATGTTTTAATACCACTTAACTTGGATTTGTTCTAATTAACTGCGGAAAATGACTGGCAGACCGCGAGCGTGGCCGCATAAACGGTTACGGTGATAGTGCCGGGAGGACCTCTTATAGCTTCGGGGTTTACCAAAGAGCATACAGCAGCGTGCACGGTGGCTGTCTATGGTGACGCGCATTCGGGTTCGACGTGTCAGTTTCGGTATGTCAACTATCCCGGTGCTATTATCTAACGCTGAAAATAACCTGCAGCAGCTGAGACAAAGTCTCGGAGACATTACGGCCTTTCTGGCCACTACGGCCGGATGAAAGCAGTCCCAGGATATCATCTCACTTTGAAATGAACCGATGGACGCAGCTGATCTTGATAGATAGTATCGATAAGACACCCCCCACCGAAAAAAATAATAAATTGGTTTGGATTTGGAGAGTTAGGTAATTCAGTGAGCAACATTTGGTTTTATCCCTTTTCTTTTCCCGCCAATGGCGAAGTAGAGTCTTGCCTCCGTTCTGTGTTTGACGTCATATCTCTGGCTTATTCTACTTTCCAACCGTTCAAGAGCAGTGCACGTACTCGAGGTGCTGATGCTCGAATGATGGGAAGGGGTGTAGAAGTCATGAGTCATGCCTTCTCCGGAACCCTCCTTGATTGCTTTGCTTAATTTCTATTGGCTAGTTAAACACCATTCCGACATTCCTCGCGTGTGAAGGTACAATTTTGAATTTCTCATGACCTTGCTCTTCTTTTAAATTACATATAAGACATCCTTTTTACCCCCGTTTCCTCTTGGTAAATTTTGCCTACTGGGATGCGGGCCCCTTCGGTTAACGTATAGTTAGTATATGTGAACCAGTGTTTCTGTATTACCCATATAGTGTGTGACTGTATATGCGTGTGAATGCCCTATCATGCACTGGTATCCTATCTGCACTGGTATTCCTCTGTTTTGTGCGGATTTCTTCTTAACATTCCTCATTCCTCCAGTAAGACACATGGCTGGGCTAATCTGTATTTTTACATCGGCCATAGTATATGATTGTGTGTATGAATAGACCTACGTACATGTGTGTGTGTGTGTGTGTGTGTGTGTGTGTGTGTGTGTGTGTGTGCCTGGTGATGGGCTTGCTTCTCGTATCTAGGAGTTGGAGGCTGGATATATGGATAAAGCTGTGATACTCGCTGCTCACTGCTTAGAGCCAGATCTTGGAATACATGTATACTTGGAATTAGGTTTCGAACTAGCTTACCTGTTTTGACATGTATTTCATAATATGCCAAAATAGCCGAACTAGAATTTTGTGTATTAAGATGTAATAATCAATTAAAAAATCTCTCAATTTGCTTCGAGGAAATTAGCATTTCAAGTGCATTACATATGCATAACTGTCATGCTGAGTAAAATGCTAGCTTCCATTGCATGGTGCTGTGCCTTTTCACACTTGACTAGCCCAATTTTAAAGCTGTTTGGGAGCCTTTACTGAAATGCTACCTAAAGGCATGGATTTAAATTCAAGGGTGGATTTAAATCCTTTATTCAACACAGACTGTTATCTATTTGCGACTATAAGTATTAGGTTTTAATCAAAGAAAGGAACTTTTGTTTTAGGCTGTTCAACTTTAATATTTAATTTGAAAATCGAGTTGTCTTTATTACAAACTTCTTAGTCTAAACGATACAGATGCTGATATTCATCTTAAGCTATAGACTATCACTGACTTCATATATATAAAATCACCAATGCTGTACAGGTTATACCTATAGCTTACTCTTAATACTTAATTGTGTGTATCTTGACAAATAATTGCATACATGTATATATAAAAAAAACTTACCGAAGAAATACTTATTATTATTATTATTATAATACATCAACGATGATGCTTTATTGATTATAAGATTGTCTTATTAAAAATGCCTATTAAGTTAGTCCAGATAAGCATTTTGCTATAATAATGGTCAGAATCGGGGTTTCTTTGCTCTGATTGGTATTTGCCAAAGTTTGACACTGCTCCACAGCCAATAGGAGGGCGCCGCGGGGCGGCACGCCTCCGGTGCATTCAATCAGTGAATCTGAGCCGCCGAGTCCAATCGCCCCGTACCGTGTGCCCGCTGTACCGGTGCGAAGTGCTCGAGCTGAAGTGGCTGCATTAAGCTCTCCGATACTGCAAGTTTCTCTCTTCTCGACCCCCGGCGAAGCCGATAAGGGGTAGTATGACGGACAGATTTGTCGTTATCCCTGTTGGGAAGGACGACGAGGCTCCCGGCGGGGGCAGCGATGACCCCGTTGCTGAAAGTGGAGGGTCTGAGGGTGACAACACCGACCCGCAGGACGCTGTTCCTATTCTGGAATATAGCAGAGAGCCAAATAAATACGGTAAAGACGTGCCGCAATATGCTGTCATATAATTATTACTACTACTTATATTAATTATTATTGTTATTATTACTACTACTACAACTATTATTATTATTATTATTATTATTATTATTATTACTACTCCTCTTATTATTGTTGTTATTACGCCATGATATGTTATTTTGTCATTTAGCACTGTGGTAAATTAATTGTTATGTGATTGTTGGATTGAGGGTTTTGTCGCAGGCTGATCATTTGTCGGGATCCCGTGAAGCGGGTAAATCTAGTCTGCGCGCGCCGCTAATCTAATAACCCGGCTAATTAGTCACCAATTTAGAATTGACCCAAGTGAATAACCCCAGCTTCAACGTTAAACCCATTACGCCTGAACCAAAGCTGTGTACAGAATGAGAATACTGTAACCACACGGCAGGAAAACCAAACTAGCTGGATAACTGGCTCGGCTGGGTAGTAAGTACGCATTTATAGCTAACTAGATGTTGCCCTTGTGAGGCGAGGCTATACCAATGCCCGTGGTATGACTGAGAATTTGCTTTTAAATAACACCTAGCGCTGGAACTCAACTATGTTTGTACATCTTGGCGAATTTTATGAAACTGTCATAAAGTAAGATTATAAAAATTACGAATAGTGGCGCTCATAACCAGCAATTACGATTTTATAGGCCTGTAATGCGATTTGTCTAGTTTTTGCGTTAAGTCTAATCTTACCTGGCATTTTAAAAAGGCGGAATTACCTTCATTTTATTGGTATTGCAGTTTGTAGTAAGTGACCTTAAAATATTGAGCTGCATTCGCAAAATTTAGAAATTGTCTTCAATTTTCGATTATTTATTATTTGCAGAGCACAGTCACATATATTCTCCATACCAAACTGTATATTAAGATTTTGTCATGCTTATCAATTTAAGCAAAAACATATGTGAAATTTTTGTATGGTCATGGCGTTGTATTCTTGGTTAATTTTGTTCTTAACGGTGGATTTGGACAACTTGTGTTCAGTTGGTGCCAACTCAGTAGTATGGATACAACATAAAGTTGAATCAAAACATCCCTAAAAAATAAAAATTCATTTTAAATGATTTAGTTGGCACTAGGTTATAGGGGCAGTGATGGGTTGGTGCCCCATCCTCGGTACGTCCTTCCGTCTAGATTGTAAATGGATTACGGTCCCCCATGACCCTGGAGGGACAAGCGAGTATAGAAAATGGATGGATGGGGATAAGGTTATAGGGGCAAGTTAAATCTGTTTTATGATGCAGTTTTCATAAAATGATAAACGACACTCACTTGTGATATTGGAGGTATCTTCCACCCTGCCTTGTCATCATTGTGTTGGAGTACCTGCATCCATGACGATCCCTTTTCCCATCCCCCAGACTCTGCCTGTGAGGGGAAACTTTTTGGTTATGACTGACATTATGCTAAATGATAAATACAGCCTATTTCAAGTTTTGAATCTGTTCCTTGGTTTGCAATTCTGCATACAAAGTGCAGTTTGTTTATGTGAACTTGTGCTACTGAACACAGCTCTGTTTTTCGACTGGCAATAAATTGATTTTTTTTTGGCACGTAATTCACTTAAGGTGAAAAGTAGTTTTGCCTTTTCAGTGTCAGTGTAATTTGTCTTCACTTGCACAATCCTGCCTAATTTTGCACAGGGATAAAACTGGCAGTTCTTCCTATGAATCGCATGGGAAGGTGCGTAGGAAACCTTATTTTTGGAGAATCGAATCTGGACCTGCCGTTATGCTTCCATTTGGCTTTATGTATTGTTCCTAATTGATGGCTGATCAAAGTCGGAGCTTTTCGCTATGGTGCTCCAGCTTACTGTTAAGGTAAGGTCCGAAGACCTCCAGGGTTAATGCGTGTATGTGCTTTTTAACAGTTCATCTAAATCTCAGGGAAAAGGGTTAGACGGCAAATGCTTAGGCTTGGGGTAATCATATTACATCGCACTCATTCCTAACAGTAACTGAATCTGAGCAGAGTATATCTGTTCTTGAATGAGATCTTGGTGACCACTTGGCACCAGACTGAGGCTTCAGCTGCTGAAGCAACCTGAATGGAAATAAATGTCATTTACCTCCTGCTCACTGACCCACTGAGTCTAAGCTTTAAGTCCCATTAAGTACGTGGCTTTTTTTTAGGACAGAGAGATCTGGGGTGAGTTTCCCGAAGCGTTCTTAACGCTACGTCGTTTGTTAGTTCTATCTTTTAACACAGAACTTAAGAACGACGTAGCGTTAAGAACGCTTCGGGAAACTCACCCCTGGTCATTCCGTATTTGTAAATGGAGTGAAAGGAGTACACAGAGAAAGAATACACAGAGAATGAGAGCATTCCCATACAATGGCTTATGGTATAGAGCATTCTGGGAAAAAGTTGACTCTGCAAGAGGGTTGGGAACTTCTCCTTGGGGCTGTGGGGTCTGAGGTCACAGAAAACATTTTCAGGCTCCAGAAGGTCTTCCCAGCTTCATCGGTTAAAATAAGCTGATTAATCATCGCTCATTGCTTGGTCTTAATGGTCTTCTGATAACGTTATTCATTGTGTCCTTGTTTGGAGCTCAAGTCAGGCTGTGGAGATCAGCTGTTGCCGCCATGTCTGTCCACAGCACATTTTCACTTTGAGTAAACATCTACTGTAAATCACTTTACAGTCATAGTGAGCATCTTTTAGCAGATATCAACTCCCCATTTACCCAAACTGACGTACAGCTTTAACCATTTTAACCACTTGGCATTTCACTGAAGCGGATCAGGGCCGAGTACGTCACTGATAGATGTTACATCAAGACCTCTCCTGGGATTTGAATCCGGAACTTTCTGGTTATAGTGTCCTTAGCCCCCATGATGTTTGCTGAGGCCAGCAGATTTTGTCCACTCGGTCCCACTGCACTTTGGAAATTTGCCGAGTCACCAAGGACAGCAGTGCTCAAAAACAGAATGAAATCGCTTCAGTGCTGTTTCTGGCAATAGTCACCAATGCAACCTTAACTTCATTATCTCAGTGTAGCAGGAGTTGGTGGTCATGTTGGTGACACTGGAGGAATTCTCCAGATTCCCACCCTGAGCTCCCCCCCCCATCTCACGGACTCTCCCGAAGCACTTAAATAGAAAGGATGTGTGACACCCAAAGATTATGGAATTCACCAAATGTGGCATCTGTCTCGAAAGGCAAAAATACCAGCCGTTCCCGCCACGCTAAACAGCATGCTTTGGGCAGATGAATCACTGACAGGCGACATCCAGATATCTGAGAAGGTCACTATCCTGTAGCTGGACACTCAAGCTAAGCCCTGTGTTAAGGGAGGGATTCCTTCAGATTTTTGTAGCTTATACAAATTTTGGTCTTGCAAAGCTCCCAGTAGTTAACTTTTGGTTAAACCAGAATTAATAAATACAAATGCACACATCTTTTGTGAGGATTCTCCATTCATTTCTGTGGGGGAAAACCCTAATCCCAACAATGACGACCTTAACTCCTACCCAGCCCTTAACTTAACCAAGGTAACAAACAAAAGCTGAAGACTTTTGGCATTATTAGTTTTATTTGATTGCAGTCACAGATTTTTACATAATTGAGTTTCCCCTTGTGGGGACCAAAAAGGTGATCCCCTCAACATCAAAATAACAGGTTTTTATCACGTTGTTTGGACATTTGGTTCCCAGAATGTAATGTGTATATACACACACACACACAAAATGTTGGGTCACGTTATTGTGTGTGATACAAATCTGAAAGTGGATTCATTTTTTCCTTACACGCACTGTTCCAATAATTTATAAATGAATTATATATTATTTTTATAATTTACAAACAGGACTTTGGTCTGATAGAGCTGAGGTTCCCCTCCTGGGAGATGAAGTTATAGTATAATAGCTTGCCCTGAATATTCAGTGGTCTCACACTGGTGAGTTTTAGAGAGCGCAGAATGCCATTAAGCCAAAAAGGTCTCATTTAGCCCCAAAACAGTCACCGCTGTTGTCTGTGGTTTTGTTTACGTATACTTTGTGGCTGCTTTAAGTGTAGAAGTCTGCTTTTCTCGGTGGTTAAGTAGTTGCTGGACTGTTTTAGTCTTGTAAAAAATGCACTGGAAAATGTGTAATGGAGGTAACTAGAGTGATTTTGTTTTCCCTGGAAAATGTTACAGAAGAAGTCAACAAGCGAGAATGACTGTTTTTTAGGGGGTTGAACTGTTTTTATGCATGCTGTGCATATGAAAGCAGACAGATTCTGTGTTAATTTCTGCTTTGTTTTCTGTTTGTAATTACATCTGTAATGATTTACAGCATTGCATGAAATATAGTATGTAGTAATAATTGCATTGTACCTTTCCATCTTAATGTAAACATTGTTTATTGTCTTCTGTGTCTAAGGGTAAACGCTCTGTTTTGTACCAGATTGCGCAATATGTATAGTACACACTAGGTGGCAGCATTTTATCAGTCAATTAAGTCAACACTCCTTGAATTAATGTGTGTATATATAGATTATACTTGTATATGTATTACTGTTTATATTGATGTATGTAATGACGAAGTATGGGAAAAGCTGACTTTATTTTGCTCCATAAACTTTTCAGAATATGCTCTAAATGAATGCCACCCTACTTGGATAAGCAGTTATTTTCAATGGATGGATGTTTTAGTAGGCTTTATTACAATCTATGTCAGCTGCAAACTGCAACCTCGTGGTCTCTCCCTGTCTAGATCAGCTGGGGATGACTGGGCTGTTGCCCTGAATTTTCTTGCTCTCTTTGTGAGGACAAGAGAGATACAAAGGACAGAGAACATTAGCCAGCAAGGTCTACTGACCAACTGACCAAATGTGCTACTTCTCAGAAGCTTTGCACTGTAGTTTAGGCTGCTTGGTTGCACTTACACAACTGGAGGTGCTACATTTCTGAAGGGATCTAATTATACCTGTCATGACGGTCTTTGTGCGTGACAATATGTTCATGTTCATACCCTAGAATATAGTCTTCAGCCTGGT